AAAAAAGAAAACAACAAAATAAGTTTCTTCAGTACTTTCATTACAAATATTAAACATATTTAATACTTATTCTGTGTGCGCAGTGCGACTTTTTTAACGTTGTCGATAGCGTAAAAGTTAACTTAAATTTGTATGGAGTTGGAACAGCGCCCCTAGCGGCAAACGTACTGTTATAAATATCCCTGCCGAATCCTAAACTGCTGACACTAGGCGCGTAGACCTCGTAGGAGGTTCGGCCCTCTACCCGAAAAAAAAAAAAAAAAAAGCGCCCCTAGCGGCAAACGCAGGCAAACGTTCTAACTCCATACAAATTAGAGTTAACTTTTACGCTATCGAGAACTATAAAAAACACTCACTAAGCACCTTGTTCAGTAACAGACGCTATGTAGATTCAACGCTGGTTTTATCACATGAAGTAATTAGCTAATAATAATAAATACTTTTGCATAAAAATTCAGGTTAGTCTGATGTCATAGATCGAGCTAATAATTACAGACTACGCGTTGGCGAAGTTGCACGGAAATTGTATTTTCATAACGCAATCATAACTTTGTTTATTTCTACATAGTTTGTAACTCCGTGTGTGTTGTTTGTACAGATGAACAAGTCTGCCGGCGAGGAAGCGTCGCCACAGTTAAACTTCATTTGGAGTTCTTGAATTTATTACTTTAATTACAGGTTTGCGTGCGGTAGTTGTTACGGAGTTGGGGTAGAGGTACTCTAGAAGTCGCCAAACAATAGAACACCTGTTCCAATTCCATACAAAGGACATTTACTGGTGGTAGGACCTCTTGTGAGTCCGCACGGGTAGGTACCACCACCCTGCCTATTTTCCACCGTGAAGCAGTAATGCGTTTCGGTTCGAAGGGTGGGGTAGCCGTTGTAACTATACTGAGACCTTAGAACTTATATCTCGAGGTGGGTGGCGCATTTACGTTGTAGATGTCCATAGGCTCTAGTAACCACTTAACACCAGGTGGGCTGTGAGCTCGTCCATCCATCTAAGCAATAAAAAAAATAAAAAAAAACATGGGCCACTCTCCATACATTGCACGGCCCACTAAACGGAGTTCAAAGACAGTAATGAAATTATGTTTAAATAACAGACTACATATCCCTTTTATTATAAACAAATTAAAATCAATATTGTTCATGGGGATACAGAGATATTAAAAAAATAAGATAAGATTTTTAGTTTACCTATATCATATGATTTGCTGTCAATACACTTACACTTTAACATCATCATCAGCTTAAATATTATTTATATAACTATACTTTATAACACAGACCTAATTCAATGAACGCCAAGTCTTAATTTTATGCACAAAAAATATAATAAGCAGGTATATCGCAACGAAACACTTAATAATATCCACAATGCGCACGAGTGCGAAAACGACTAAACATTAAACAAGCGTAGTTTTTTTTTTGCTTAAGATCAATAATTATTGATCAATGTAATGATTTATTCTACGGATTTCAAAGTATAAAAATGGATTTTTGTTTAGATATAATGTTTTATATTAGTTTTAAAATCCATTAATTAAATGTGTTAATATATTTTGCTAGTTTTTTTGCAATATAATGTCTTTTTTAAGAAGGTTTAATGTGAATTGTTTAAAATCTAAATATATTTTACCTATGGCAACTCCTTCAATATTATCAATGTAGCTTAGTCATGCTAATTTCTTTTTATTTATGATTTTAATTATCCCACCATTAAAATACCCTTAAATTTTATAATATAAGTTTTTTTCTATAGATATTTCATTCGTGTCCTTGAGAGCACGAGTAGCTGGGCCGAAAATGGCCCATGTCCTTTGAGTTAACTTTTACGTTATCGAGAACGTTAAAGAACTCGCACTAAGTACACAGTTCGCTGGCGAATGTATTTTGAGTTTTAGCGTTAATGTATATAATGTAATGCTATATTTGTGCACTGTTACTAAGTGTTTTATTTCTAAATCAATGTTTTCTAATAACCGTCCTAAATTGTACCCATGTACAGACACAGAGGGGATTTTATGGTGAAACTACTTAAAAATTTGCCATGAAAAGATGTTCCTTTTTCATAGCAAATAAAAAATAAATGATTTAAATGTTTCTGGATTGATATTTTCGGGGGATGAGTGAATATACTCATACTGTTCGAGATCGCACTCGTATTACTGATGGACGAGTAGAGGACGATGATATGCAAATTTTGCAAGTAACGCGATTGGTCGTCCATATTGTTCCCCTTACCCCCCAATCCTCGATTCATGTAACACACCATTTTATTCATGTAAAAAAGTTCGAACAATAAACACCTAACTGGAGAAAAAATACGCCACAGACAAAACAATTTTATTTCTCGAAAACCTGAATTCACCAAGCCTCTCAACCAGCAAATAAAATCGCAAGCCGCACCATTTTTTGGTCCTTCGAGCCGGATTTGAACCAGCGACCTATGGATTCCAGTTTCAATACATCTACAGTCCACCGCTCTACCAACTGAGCTATCGAAGGTACGATTGCCGCATAGAAGTTTCGAGTTTTCGCAGTTTACCGTCAATCACGAAGCTGGTGACGTTGCTAGCACCAGTGTCGTGGTTTTAGACTGCCTGACTAATAACTGTAAGTACATCTCTTTTCATTTACCACCAATATGCCAACTGATTCCGTTAAATCTCGTGATAAATCCACCAACCTGCTAAGTGCAGAAAGTAATGATCTAGTTCGCGCCCTTGTTAAAAAACGTGGCATAATTAAATGCAGACTGACTAAATTTTCAAACCATGTAACATCGCTGGAGAATAGTGACGAACGTGTCTTTAATAATGAAATTCGTATAGATTTAAAGTTGAGAATTCAAGGTGCCGCTACTTTGTTTTCCGAATTTAACGACATTCAAACAAAGATTGAAGAAAATGTTTCTGAAAGTGAATTAGCGGGTCAGTGTGATCAACGAGAACTCTTTGAGAACAGTTACTATAGCACATTAGCTCACGCAGAATCTATGCTAAATAATGATGAGGTCATGAGCTGTTCCAAGTCTTGTCACAATTCTAATCGCGAAGCACCAGTAAAACTACCCACTATTTCCATGCCTACTTTCGACGGTGCCTATGAGCACTGGCTTGAGTTCAGAGATACATTTACGTCGCTTGTTCATAATTGTAAAGATATTTCCAGTNGGGGAGGGTGATGGGAGAGATGTGCTCCGCACTAAACGCTTCACTTTCCCCCCTCTGCCTCTTCATGAGTTCTGTCTCATGCGAGGTTTGGACGTTGGTTGTTGAGCGACAGGAGGTTTTAGTCAGTTCGACTCTGACATGCCCCGCCCTCCATCCCCAGTGGAGGGCGGAAGTCCGGCGATTTCCTCCTGACAAAAAAAATAATTAAAAATAGTAGAGCTATTGGGGAAACAATTTTTATTTTATTTTTTTATTGCTTAGTTGGGGAGACGAGCTCACAGCCCACCTGGTGTTAAGTGCTTACTGGAGCCCATAGACATCCACAACGTAAATGCGCCACCCACCTTGAGATACAAGTTCTAAGGTCTCATGTGTAGTTACAACGGCTGCCCCACCCTTCAAATCGAAACGCATTACTGCTTCACGGCAGAAATAGGCAGGGTGGTGGTACCCATCCGCGCGGACTCACAAGAGGTCCTACCACCAACCAGTAATTACGCAAATTATAATTTTGCGGGTTTCATTTTTATTACACGTTCATTTTATTACACAAAAAAATAAATTCTCAGGTAGTACCCAAATTACGTATTTAAAAAAAAAAGTTGATATTTTTCATACTGCTGTGCGTTTCTGGAATTTACAACAGCTACAAATAAATGAAATCCATTGGCTTTTTGGTGTTATAATATTTTACATGGACTATATCAAGGAATATACAGGAAATCGTATGAGTAGCTAGTGTAATTATTTAAGTTAATATGAACTTAAATTTTAATCATAAAATTTGGTATTTTTCTTTATTTTTAATTTGGGTGCTACCTAAGAAATTTTTTATTTTATTTTTTATTTTGAATCCCCAGTAGCTCTTCTATTACGTGTTTTGGGATTATCCATTCTTTCTGGGACACTCTGTAGATCATTTTTAGTTAATTCAACTAGTTTAGTTCAACTATTCCAAAAATATCATAACTTAGAGATAAAATAAAATCAATTTTCCTTATTTCGTAACTTATGTCATTTTGTATACCGAATTTACCACTTGGAGGTGTTAATGAAATAAATTGTGTACGGTTGATATTGATTTAGGCACTTAGGAACGTCTGATATTTTCGGTTCACAGGAAATTTATCAAAAGCAACAAGCATACTCAATCAGAAAAGTTTCCAAAGTAAATGTTTGGAAGATTTATGTCCTCCTCCTTGCGTCGATAATCCTCAGTGCTGAGGATCGTGGCCTCCTCTAATAACTTTCTCCTGCATCATCTTGCGCCATTCCTGCCTGTCCTCGGCTGTGTGGATAGCAACGTGGACTGAGGTATTGAGAGTGGAGCGTATTTGGTCCGACTAGCGCATTGGATTTCTGCCTCTGTGCCTTCTCCCGCATACCTTGTCTGTCACCAGCAGCTTCTCCAGATTGTCACCTCTCTTTCTGGCGATATGTCCGAAAAACTCGAAACTCCTCCGCGCGCATGTAGTGCTGAGGCGCATTGGAATCTTGAGCTCGGTAAGAATGGATTCGCTGGTTCTGTGTTCTGTCCAACGAATCCCGAGCATTTTCCTCCAGCACCACATCTCACACGCGTCGATGCGTTGGTGGTTGGCTTTCTTGAGGGTCCAAGTCTCCGCGCCGTAGAGAAAAATGGAAAAGACGAGGGAGGTGACGAGCTGCTTTTTGGTATTTCTCGAAGACTTATGTAAGCTAGTACAATAAGAATGTTTAAAGTTTCAATAAAGTTCGAATAAAAGACAATCATGTGCCACGTAAATATGAAATTGTTTCACAAATTTTATTAAAAGTTGCTATGAAAAACAAAGAGAAAGATTACATTTCGAAGCTCTCATTTTCGTGACCTGACACAACATTTTTCGGTCGACTTAAACAAGGCATTTCCCACAGGTTGATGTTCCTTGAGAGTTCTTCGGCTTCGTTGAACGTTTGTGGTATATCCTTCTTCGTGGTCTCCGGTAACGCGAAGGCAATGAAGGCTCCGAATGCAGCGATAGCGGCAATTATCACAAACGGCAGCCAACTTATATAAATTTGAAGATACACAATGTAAGGAGAGAGAGCCGTACCTATGTACCCGCAAATGTGGACGACAGATGCCCCAGAGCCTCTGACTTGCGTAGGTAGTACTTCTGCAGTCCATTGCATGGTTGCATTGTAGGAAATGTTCACGAAGAACCGAGCGAGCACTGTACACATCACAGAAGGTACACCACTGCCAACAAATACAGTTAACAATGTGAAGACGCTGCAGAGCATCATGCAGCTGATCGTCATCCACTTACGTCCCATCCAATCCATAATGAAAGCTACAACACACATCGATGGAAGTTCGGTAAAGGAGATCACGGAGAATGATATGAAGAAATCGAAGCCCAGCTGTCCGGTACTTCTTACTAAAGCGTCGAAGATGATCGTGCAACAGGTGAACTCCAAACACATCAAAATAAACGTTCTTCTAATTGGCGGTCTTTTAAATATTTCTAAGCAGCTATGAGATTCTTCTTTCGTCTCTTTCGAGACTGTACACTTGAATTGTTCAATGATCTTGGGCGGTATTTCTTTCTTATTAATTCGGCTGATCGTTAAAATTTTGTTTATAGCCTCATCTACACGCCCCATAGAGAGCAACCATCGAGGACTTTCAGGTATGCAACACGGTGCTAACACAGCTAATAATAATGGCGCACTAGTCACTATGGATATAGTTTTCCAATGTCCACATGCCAAACTGATCCATGGCATTGCTATAGTGAAACTAGTGTAGAATAAAGCAAATGCCATATTGGCCACCATCGTTTTGTATTTAGGAGTCACATACTCCAACAATATTAAGTATGCCATCATCATGCAATTGTCATATGCCATACCTGCTATGAATCGGTATATTGAGAATTCGGTGAAGTTTCTTGCAAACGTGGTCAGTATTCCTCCTAAACATCCAATTAAGGTGCTGTAAACAGCTGCTGGCAGTCTACCGTACCGATCAGCTACCCAACCAATCAGAAATCCTCCAATAATGGACCCCACAAAGAAAAGAGCTTGTGCCGTGGCTTGGTAGCTGCCTCTGTCACATATCCAATCCATTTCACTTGTTATTGTTGGGTAAGGTATTTCGGTCTTGTTGAACTCCCACCCGTGTTCACAAGCCTTTGTCGGCCATGTTGAATTAGGTACTTGTCCAGTTATTAATACCTCATCCCAGTTCGCATCATACACCTGGCAATGTGAATATCCGAATTTTGTCGAATCGTCTAACGGGATAGCCAATGTTCTCCGTTCTGTGTCAGACAAGTTTGCCAATTCAGGAACCCAGCACCAGTGGTTCGGAGAGGGTTCAGTGATGAACATTTGACTATAGTAGACGAAAACACCGAACAAGAAAAACGGAGAGGTTGCGAAAAACAACAAAATTTGGTAAATACTAAATTCCCCAGCGGCTATCAATAGTTCATCGAAGTTTATCTGCTTGGCCGCTCCTTCTGTTGGCTTTTCTAGTTCAATACGTTTTTCACGGTCAAATTTGTTTTCTATCTTCATCGTGTCCATGGCCATTTCCGTATTAATTTCTATTAATGTTATTGTTACTGTTGTTTATTCTACAATTAATGGCATTAAAATGATTACGATTCATTTCAAACAGGTCTTTTATAATTTTCTGTAAGCGTCAGAGATAATGTTCTAAAATGGCAAATGGTATTTGTTTGTTAAACGATTTGTGTGTTTATTATGACGTTTGTACATAATATCATTTTAAGATTAAGTTATTTTCCAGACGAACTGTTTGAGATGACTTTAAATAGAATTATGAGCTAAATAAATTTCATAATAATATGTATATTTTTTAATAAATGATACTTTACTTGATGTTGTTAGCTACCAACTTTGCTACAAAATCAACGACTGCTAGGCTAGGATTTGCTGTTCCAATATATTTTACATATAAAATTATACCTATAATATCTAATATAAATAATTATATTTAAAATAATATTTGGAATGGATGGATTGCGTTTGGTCTTAGATCCTTAACCGAAGCAGATGGGCGAACTCCAGGGCTCAGCTAGGAGGGGAAAGCTTACTAACAACTGTTCAATTAATTCATCAATTCAGTCTCCGGAGAAGGCTTGACAGCTACGCGATGACCTACCACAATGCGAGGGCATCTACTATTGAATCGCGACTCGTTGAGAAGATCTGACAAGATGCCGATTCTTTGGTAAACTCAACGTACATAATACTTAGCGAGTAAACATATTGTAGATTGCGGAATCATGCACATACTTGTATTGTAAATACGTACACCCTGCCACAGAATATCAAAGGTACTGACTCCAGCATACATACGATTGAATAAGAGTTCCGGTGTAAAGTAGTAATAAAAATATATTATTTATAAATAAGATAAATTTAAAATATACCAAACAAGCCAATATTTTTGTAACCTCCAATGGAACCTAAAATAAAAGTAGTGGAATTGGGATTGTTTTTGGAACGAAGTTCCTTACGGCAGGCTTGGAGGGGATAGGGATTTTGCTGCGCGACCGAACTGAAAAAAATGTGATAGTAAAACCGTAAGAAAAAATCCGTAGAAAAAAGTGCGTGGAATAAAACCGTTAAATGAGACGGGCGCAGGCGCGACAGTCGCATACACAAGCGAGTAGTGTATAATACATTTCTCTTTCTCCTTCTTTTTTTTCGTTCTCTAATCCCTTCTCTCTCTATTTAGTAATTATTTCTATTTCTATGTAATTTTATGTTGTCAACCAAAAATAAAGAGATATATTTTGTTATTTTAATTGATAATTTGAATTACAATATTTTTTATTTTACGTAATTTATTATTTCCTAAAATACTGAATTTCCTAAATACTTTCCCGTACTTAAATAAAAACTAATTAAATTAGCTAACTAATGAAATTATTTAACTAATTAAATAAAAATAAACAGCAAAATTTAAGAGAAAAAACAAGAAACCTACATAAAATTGAGCACCATTTATTTTTTTGCAAATTGTGTCGATTCTACATTAGCCGCAGGAACTTCGTTCCTAACTGGTGTCCCACGACACCACATCTTTTTAATTATTTATTTATTTATTGCTTAGATGGGTGAACGAGAACGTGGTAACATTTACGTGGTAGATGTCCGTGGGCCCCAGTAACCATTTAACACCAGGTGGGCTGTGAGCTCGGCCACCCATCTTTTTTTTTATTGCTTATAAAAAAAAAGTGTACCTGTTTAATCGCTATAAAGAGGTTATGACCTTGTATACAGAATAGTGCTTCAATTCTCAATCGGAGGGAGTTTACTAAATATTTTAGTAGATATTATTAGAATATTATTTGTTTGGTCGTTGGATTAGTTTGTACGTCAGAGAAGTGGGTACAGACGTTCCTTTGTATTGAGTCCCACGTTGTTTTGATGCTGTAGAAATTTGTATTTGTTATTAATATATAATTACAGGAGAGGCGATCGCAATAATTCCGTCCTCAGTAATTTGATATTGCTAAAATAATGAAATGCATTGCATTTTCGTGGGATAAAGAGTTGCTTGTTTTTATCTCTATATACATAAACTACTTATCTTTATTACGTAGTATGCAGCCTTATTAGTTAGTTTTATTACGTAATTAACGTTAATTAGTACGTTAAATCACGGATCAATGAACGTATTGCAGTTTTTATAGCAGATTTGCCAGTCAATGCTCGGGTTAACTCATACCATGATAAGTATTCTCTGTGTGCGAATATTCATCAAAAACCATAGCTCCATTTTTTCGTGACCAAACTATAAATATCCAAACGTATTAAATGCTCAGGAATTACGGGCCTATAAAATACCTGCCATGAAAATTGTGCAATGTTAAATAAATGTTTTTTCCGTCACGACATAGCAAAGCTGTCGCATATATATAGTCCAAGTTTTACGGAATTTTAGATAAGATCATGGACATACCAAATACTAGAAACTAAACAAAACATGCTACTACTTACTATTCATTTATAAAGCGAACTAACTGTTTGCACCGGGTCCGTAGCGAAAAGCTTGTCTCCTCCCATTTCGGACCTCCAAAAAGTTTCGCGAAATTAATTTTTCATTAATGAAACACAAGCCAGGCACAATTTGTATAAAATAAGACGATGGTTATTCAATTTCAAATTTGCCATCTAAATTTGTCTATTAACGCGTCAAATTGAAGAATGGATGTAAGATTTTAAATTCCGCGTGCTCTTTTTGAGAGTACTGTCACACGTATTTAGTTGAAGCGAGTACGCCGGTCGCATGCCTGTAGAAAAAATCGGTTGTCTGTAAAGTCGGTTTACTGACGATAGTTGAACGTGACAACTTCGTAAGAAAATACTAATGGAATGCTTTCATTTTTTAATTATCGCAATTATCCTTGCTATAAACTTTGACTAAATTGACACCACATTCACTTTCCACTGAACTTCATACTTGACGAAAACATTTAAATGTATTATTGTATAGCAGCTGTCACCGCGGATGCATCGCTCACTCAAGTAGGAGAGAGACAGATGTCGAACGCTGCCGAACGCGGAGGTCGTGTGCTTCTTTGTGGCTCGTTGCGCGCTCTCGCTTTCACTTCAAGACTTAAATGGAACGCCTCAGACCGCGGAACGCCGCATGAGTCATGTTTTTTCGTGCGTGCAGCCGGCTCCATCAAATTATAAGACGTTGTCACGTCAAAATCAATTATTGTTTACGAGTATGTTTGACAAGCCGGTAGTACTTTTATGGGATAATCTTTTTATTTTATATCTTATGTTTTTTATTCGTTGCACGTGATCAGGGTCGATGACTGACATCGTTGATATTTTTTTTGGTACCTTAAAAGTATAACAGGTATATATCGCACATACGGTGCGATAACGTTACATATGCAAATTAAGTAATTTTTCATGAGTAACGTTGGAAAATGCAACATCTATACTTATATAACTAGTCAGGTCATAAGTATTGTCACATAGTAAAAACTTTTCTTTTAGAATGCTGGCCACAAAAAAGTTTATTGAATTCGAATTTCGAATTGTTCATGAAAATAAAAATGTATACTTTTAGAATTTTACTCATTTTTAAATATGGAGTGGACGCTTAAAGAAGACCGTGTTGCAGTTATTGCGTTGCATCGTTGCGGTTACGCGCCAATTCAAATTTTTAACATACTGAAAAATTTGAATATAACCAAAAGATTCGTTTATCGTACCATCAAACGATACAATGAAGACTCTAGTGTAGATGACAGGTCAAGAAGTGGTCGCCCTCGGTCTGTTAGGACTCCAGCAGTGATAAAAGCTGTGAAGGCGCGAATTCAAAGAAATCCCAAACGTAAGCAGAAACTGTTGGCCCTTCAGATGGGGTTAAGCAGAACCACGGTGAAAAGGGTGTTAAATGAAGACTTAGG